AGACTCTCCTGATCCACCTCCTCAGGTCTCATCCACAGACGTCCAAGCTGGATGTGATGAATCTGCAGTACCTGAAAATCCCCCTACGTCTGACGTCTCAACCTCAGATCAAATATCAGAGGAGCCTCCGTCCATCCAGGATCCTTCCCCATCACCTCAACCTGGTGCAGACAGTGAACTGAAAATCAGCCTTGGCTCTCTAACGGAGGCGATTGGTTGCAGCTCCACAGAGTCTCCAGTTCAGCAGATGAAGCCACAGCAGACCACAGATCGAGCCATTTACCTGAGAGGAGAAATTAAAGACAACTGGGAGGTGGAGAGGGTGAAGGAGAAACAGAAGGAGGCAGGAGAGAAAGAGGGAGATGAGATAACCACAGAGGAGAAAGAAGAGGTGACGGAGTGTGAAGGAGGCGAGCCTGACGATGACGGCTGCAGTTCCTCTGGATCACCAGCAGAGAGCGCCACTGTCTCAACCACAGAGCATGAAGGGAGGCTGAATGAGGAGGAGACGGGCAGCGAGGTCAAGAGTGAGACCAGGAGAAAAGATGAGGGGGAAGGAGATCAAGAAGAAGAGGAGAAGGTGAAGGAGGAAGTCCCACAAAGCTCTCAGCCAATAGAGTCGCAGCCAGAAAGTGCTGCTGAGCTGCCATTGGACAGTGTGGCTGCCATCAGAGAACTTGTGACTGAGATCACTGAGGTGGAGACGTTAGTCAGCCCTTGTCCAGCAGAAGCATCACCCTCTGACATCAGTGACAGCATGACAACCGCACATCATGACTGAAGAATCTTATTTTAAAATTAAACAAAAAACACACGATAGGATTTTATTATCTGGTACAGAAACAGAGGGGAACACAGAATGAGAGTTGTACTTATGTCATTTTAAGGAAGGCAAAATTTAAGTTTTTTTTCCATTCTGCAGATTTTTTTTTCTTTTATAAAAACCTAAAACTCTTTTTTTAAACTTTAGCTGTTTATATATGCATCTTTCTTAATCAACACTGAAGTGACCCAATAAAGATGTTCAACTAATCCTGTTTTTAAAGTTTTTTTTAAAAAAATTTACAAACTGTAACACCACACTGAAAACTAATGCAGCAAACGTAAGACCAAACTAGAAGTGTTACGATACGTGTATTCATCCCAAACTGTTCAGTATGGGGGCGACCATTCGTTAGTTCATTACGCCCCATGATCCTATTTATGTCTAAGTAATGTCACTCCAGGACCCGAACTTCTAGATGGAGTTCCAGCCAGAACATCTTGGCTTTAGCAGCTGTAGCATATCAGCAGGATGAGCCTTGAAAACTTCCTACACCGCAAGAAGCTGCGACGTCTGTCACACTGTAGAGGTCAATGATCCGCCACCGTGTGGCGCTCACACTGAACATCAACACAAAGCCCCGACTTGGTCTGACAATAACAATCAAGTTCATTCAAACAAGATCTGCTTGTTGACAAAAGTAAGCAATTTTTAAAGCTGAAACTGCACTGCTGGCTGTGCTTAATTATCAATACTACTTATCTGAATGGCCTTTTTTTTATTTTTATTTGAAAGTGATCAATTAAGAGTGTTTCCTTACTGACAGTGTGCAGCATCTGAGTGCCTGACATTATGATTAGTCCGACTCATCTGATGTAGATTTCAGGTATAAACTTGTGATTTCCACCACACATTTCACACCGTTTCCTCCCTTCCTGTCCACTGTCTGCATGTTGCTGTTTTCAAAATCCCCCTGCAGCTTGCTCCTGGCCAGGTAGTGGGGCTTTTAAAAGAGTAAGGTTACGGGCCACAAAAATAGAAAGTTAAGCTGAAAGATTCTAAAATGCTCCACTGAGCTGAGAGGACCGAGTGATTTGGTGATAAATCTTCAAGTCAGTATGATCAACCCCACTGACATCACAGGGGCCAATGCAAGCCTTTACAAATGAGGATATATAGATTACTGCAAGTTTAAACAATCCCATGTGGCAAGACAGTATGATAGTAAGAGTTACCTTGTTCACATTGGTGCATGAACAAGTGGACAACTCAGGGCACATTCCTGTAGAACCACGGCTTTACAGCTGGTCGTGGCAACGCACAACGAAACATCATAAACTCACAAAAGCAGTAAGACCACATCTTATGATTTTTAGGATGTCTTTATGACTGTTGAACCTCTCTGTTTAAGAAGGGATTCTTTGTTATTCACTCTTCTCATGCTTTAAAGTCGTTCTTCATGTCAGATGTTCTTTTTCTGTGTAAGCCCAGACATGGCTAGCGGGAAATTCTGTCCATGACACAGGCTGCTATGTTTTATTTTCCTAAATATATCTGAATATTTTCTGTGAACCAAAGCTAAATACACAAAAAAATAAAATAAAATAAAGAAGTCCCTAAAAGTTACAGCAAAGATTCTGCATTAAATGGAAACCAACCTGCGTTAAAGGAGCCCGTAACGTCCAGGATGATCTAACATTAAGAGTCACAATAAATGTTGCTTCTTTTTTTTAATGAAGAACCTGAGGATGAAAGACAGTGACAGAGATGGAGAGTATCTATACTCCAGTACTTACTTCTGTTTACAGTGTCTTGTTACAGAGCAATAAAATCAGTCATTAAAAAGAAAACCCACAGTAATATATGTATAGAATAACTTATGATAAAAAAACAATAAAACCTAACATGCAATGAATTTTAACTATATGTACAAATATGCCTGAAAGTCATACAGTATGTAACGAGTTGCCAGTGTCCTGCAAACACACCACCACTTCATATGTAGTTCAGTCAATGGCACAATATATTTTAACATTTTTGTGACTTATTTGTTAAGCTGATATACATCGCTATAATTCATGTTCATACATTCAGACGTGAAGCTGCTCCGTCGTCCAGCAGAAAGTGTCATTCTCAAGGTTGCTCCCTTCACCAAAGCAGGACTGATATTTACATTGGTGAGCATCTAGTCATACTCATTAGTGCAGTTTTTTTTTTTCAAGTTTTGTTTGTTAGCGTACTAATATTGTGGTAATAACTCTGCACAGCTGTGAGAACACACTTGTACAGGACACTGGCAAGACTGTAGATATCCAACAACATGACATCACACCAGTAGCAATGACGTAAAAGTAGAGCAAGCCATTATAATGCAATGAAGTTTTAGTCAAATTCAGCTGTGTCAGAAATTTGGTGTTGCGCAATTTCAACAGCAAACTCTGCAGTTTTTACTCCGTTGTGTTGTGATTGCTGTTTGTGAGCTTCCGCGTCATTTATTTGATAAGACACGACATTGAAATTCACCTCCAGTTCCAAGCACGTCCCTGGATTTGGAGGCTGAAGGAGCACTGAAGTGAGGATTGTGTTCATTTGGCTGCTGAGTTGAAATATTAAACTTCCTCGGGAATGGCTTAATCCACCTTTAAGATGACAGTAACAAAATCCTTCCATCTCCAAGGCCCCAGTCTCCTAAAGTCACTGCTGTTAAAACAGAAACATTGTGAGAGGTGATGTGATGCAGAGTAGCCTCACTGTACTGACCTTTCCTACAACCTGCACACAGCAACGGCAAACTTGTGGCATTATAACTGTGTCATACTGCACAAGAGATCATTCAAAGTTCTCTCTACCTCCAGCTATGTTTGTGCCGTTTCCATGGAGGTGCAGGACTTTATGTTGCAGCTAAAATGAGCCCACAGTGAGTTAAAAGGTGACAGAAGTTTAAAAACACACACAAACTCCCTGGAGTTCAACATGTAGAGTTTAGATGAAGTCTTCTTACTTAAACAGCCACGAGGCGACTGAAAGCAGAGCCACTGAGGATTTTGGATGTTTTTACAAATTCAGCCCAAACAGAAAATCACAGCTTCCTCTCTTTCTCTGTAAGAGGCTTAGAGCCAGTTCATTCAAGGAGGTTAGTTTCCCTGATCTCCTCCTGTACAAATGAAGAAGAGGCAGATGCACTCTGGAGTCCTGTCCAGTACTGTGTCGGATCATTTCTGACAAGGCAAACTGCTAAATCTGACGTGACAACTGGATGGTCTCTTTCTATGGACCCTGTGTTGCATAATGGGACTGATGCAGTATCAGGGCTGCAAAACATTTTGTTATGCTATTTATCTTTTCTTTTGTTTCTGTAATACTGCTGTGGTTTGAGATCTGTAACATAGAAAGTGTGCTGAATGAATGAGCAGAGCTTCAAGTTAGAACCAACGTCTCTTAGACCACTTTCACACCAGGTTTTAAAATGTAAACTTAAAGGCCACCATCCTACTTTCTGACATGCATGGAGACAACAGTGGCAGAGACGTATGGCAAAGACTGAGTGGAGAATGAGCACCTATAAGGCTGCAAAACAGGAGGAGCCAAGCCTACAGCCAGAAGCAGGTAAAGCTTCTTGATCTGTTTCTGGGTTAACCTGCCAGTGTGAAAGCACCTTGAACTGTAACAACAATGGGCCCATTTTACAGTGACACATACATCGTAGTGCATGTTAATTAAATGACAGTGTTGGAGGTACAGACTGGTGGATCTCAGTCCCTCAAACAATGGAGTGGAATGTTTTTTCTTTAGTGGATTCGAAGAGGTACGTAGAAAAAAATAGGCAAAACCAGCATAACATTGTCTGAAATGTCACATGAGTTTACATTCTTTAAAATATTTGCGGACTATAAAAAGACTGGGGCAAGGAGACAGTGGTGAATGAATGAATGAAATGGCTAAATGACTGCATGGTACTGCAGCTTATTCAAGTTTAAAATCTGCAGCGTTCGTGTGTCAGTTCTTATCTGTTTTTTTATATCAGCATCTGTCTGATTAACTACAACAATTCAGTTTTAATAATGGGAGTGGAGCGGTGAAATAACATGGACATGCAGGATGGTGGAGAGGAACAGATCTAAGAAGACAGGATGTGTGTGTCTATGAGTACTGATAGAAGGGCTGCTCATCGGGTCTGAAGCCGTAGGCGGTGGCCGGCCGTCCAGGTGATGAGCTGGTCTGGTCGAAGACATCGCCTGTATCTCTGGAGAGGAGAGCGAAAAATAGGCTTAAGTTTTACCATGTTGAACCAAAATTGAGACTCAAATAGGCAGAACAGCGGTTTTTGTATTGTATTAGAAGAGCTGGAGGCCTTGGTAGCCCGTAAATAGGGGTAAGAATGAATTAATCTGCCAAACGAACGAACAAAACAATGAATGGCAGTTTGCTCTATACAACAGATAGATAATCTACCAATGAGACTATGTCATTTTCTGAATAGTTGGTGTTTGGAAAACAATATTTATTCTGGTAACACTTGATGAATTGTGTAAAATAGCCCATATTCTGCCGTTTGTTATCTCACCCTGCGTGGTGCGAGTCTCCATTCTGAGGCTGCAGATCACCGAAGAAATCTGGGCTGACTGAGCCGTCTGCTGGAGTTATTCCATCTAGAGATACAAATACATGAGAGTAAACAACACTACAAACGAACAAACAAGGTTTTCGGTGTTGCATATTGTCCTAAAACAGTCTTTTCAAGATGTTACTGTAAGAGAGGTTTTATTATCACTCAGTCTGTACGTCCCCTCAACACGGTAGCTTCAACTCAGCAGTCTCATGAGAAAAAAAAGTCAATGAACAGACACAAAAAGCTGCAGTAACAACAAACTAACAAATAAAAACATGCTTCCGAGTTGTATATTTTCCTTATAGACAACTGGGTTGTAGTTTCTCCACTGGTGTGGAAGAGATGCACAGACACTAACATGTCACTATCAGGGAGGATTTTAAATGAATTATGCTGAAAAATGTGTAGAAATTCTGAACGCAGCATCACAATCTGTAGCTACTGTGACTGAAACTAACTAAAAATCCTCAGTCATCTGGAATAGAAGATAAAATGACCCGAGAGGCTCGTCACCTTTTGCAGCGTATGTCATGCTACAAGCCCGGTCCAGGGTTTTGTATGTACCTGCACTGTAGAACAGATCAGTCCTGTCGTTGTCGTTGTCATAGAGATATGGTTCAGAGTCATCAGCTTGGCGACTCTCCACCATCTCCAGCCACTGGTTGTTATGGAAACGGAACTTCTCTGACTGAATCTTCCTCCCCCACTCCTCATCGTACTCCTGGAAGATCAACAAAATCAATTAAAGAACAGCTCACAGACAAAAACAAGAAGGTGTGGCACTATACCTCAGTGTTAAAAAAAACTACATGTATTGCCGATCTGTGGTTAACTTACAGCGATAATATCGAGGGTGTTGTCACACACTTTTCTAATCTCAGCATTCTTGTCGTGCATCAGATCTATCAGGTAGGCTGGAGCCTCTGTAGAGGAGGTTAAAGAAAACCACAGAAATCCTCAGACAGCAGAGCACGATTGTACAGTCTCTGAAACCTGCCTGACTTCAACTTAAACATCTGCTGACAGTCTACGGAAAGGAGGAATTTTTCAGTTTGGTGCAGACAGAGTGAACTGTGGGAAGGATACGGGTGTCTTTGATGATGACGTCTCGTGTAGCCTGATGAAACACCATCTGGTAGAAGACGTAGACAATCTGACACACAAACTCATCGTCCTCCTGCTGGGCTACAGTCAGCAACAGAAACAGATGAGAAAAGGTTTTAATTCTGAGGAAAATTCAGAGTGTGTAATTGAATACTGTTAGGGATGGGTATCAGTAAGGTCCTACGAGTCTTAAAGATGCTGCTTATCGATCCAGCACCAGTACTCTGATCTGTACTTTCTTATTCTTTTTTAAAAGAAGTAATGAAACTAATTTAGAATAAAATTAACATTGCATTATTTTCTCTCTTTGTTAAACTTCCTCTCTTCATTCTTCACTTTGAAGTCAAAGATTGACAGCTGGACTTTTTCTTTGACAGTATTTTTATAGGTTTATTAAGAAAACAGACCACATCTACCACTAACATCAACACTCAGGAAGAAAAATTAGAAAAATAAAGCAAGAAAGAGATTTTCCACAGCCCTAGAATCACTACATCTACACTGATCTGATCTGGCCAGTGGTAACTTTTAATCATCAACCAATGTTCATATGATTTATCTCTTTTATTGATCTCTCGGCTGCTATCATACAGAACAATACCGTGGTAGTGACCAATGAACGATTAGCTAGAATTTCAAAGAGTGTGTCAGCATTGACTCTAGTAAAGTGAAACTACACTTCTGAAAATGTACAAAGCGAAAACGCATAAAGAGAGTTGGAGAGATAAAACATGCTCGACAACATTTATGTAGCAATAATGAAAAAAATTCTAAGTCTAAAATTCTCCAGTACCGACAGCAGAGCCAATAACGTCTGAGCTTATTGATCCTCCAGCATTGATTAATTTGACACCAGTTTTCGATACCCATCTCTAAATAGTGTATATCTTAATAAAACCATGTGTGTGTGTGTGTGTTTGTTACCATTCAGTAGCTCAATAAGAGCAGGAATAATGCCAGATTTAGCCAACATGGCGGCGCAGGCGTCATCCATAGAAACTGTTCCGATCATTATCACCACCTCCAGGATGAGGTCGTCCTCTGCTGAGCCTGAAACACACACACACAGATCTTGGTCATCTCACAGCTCGATTGAGAATTCCTTCTTGAGTGAACACAAAGCAGCTAAAATCACTGTCACAGTCTTCTGCATTTTAAATACTTTTGTAGGTACATTCTGCTGGCTGACACCACCAAAAACTATTGTTACCCACATCTCTGTACTGGTGCAGGTATTTTGAAGAGAAAAGGGCTGTGAGCCAATCAGAGTTCACTGAATTTTAGTGACATGACGCAGTGTGTTTTGGTTGGCCGGCCTATTTGTTTGTCCTGCACTTCTGTGCTGTACTCCCTTTTCCTGTGCGGTTGATGTCTGTCCTTTCACTCTATCATAAGAGATAAGATAATGATGCGGTTAAGTAAATTGTGAAGATGGCCGTTAAATCTGATCAGCACCTGGTTTGAGTCTGTCTTTGAGGTAAGGCACCAGGTTATACTCCTTCAGCACCAGCTCCCAGTCCAGGTCAGGGATGGTGAGGTTGGCCAGAGTCCCCAGACACTCCAGAACCCATTCCTCCTCTTCCTCTGCACGGATCTCTGCTGCCAGGTCTCCCACGTAGTCCTGACAGAGGAGCGAATTCACATCATGAGACACAATCATTTCTCAGTAAATAACTGCACCCTAATACTGCTGGCAGCAATATATGTCTAAAACCTCATCATAGAGTCAATTGTTAGTAGAAATTCTATATATTTTTTTGGAGAGTGGCACTGTTGTTGTATTTTGTATATACACTCACTATGAACAGTGGTTTGGTTGGTCCGTCGTGTTGTGAGATGTTTCTGATCATCTTCATGAGAAGGCAGTCTTTCATCTTCAGAGCTCTCTTCATGAGCATCTTCAGTCCGTTTCCTACAGAAGGAAACAAACAAACACGAAAGAAATAGTAGTTTTCTAAGAATCACAGATCACACAGAACCCAGACTTCATTAGGGCCACATCACCACCACTGACAGCTACTGAAAAATCTACTTGTCCAAACAGTGAAATACCTTCACACATGAGTTGCGCATTCCTCTTGTTTGCAGCCAGGTTGATGCAGATGGAGATGAGCTCTGCTTCGATTTCCTCTTCATTGTGCTCATACAGCATGTGCATCAGCTAAACACAGACACGCAAACAATATTACCTCAGGCTTCAGAATGATCAGTTAGTACAGATGTTAATCAGTTCAGTGGGCGTTATTTCACCTGAGGTATGCAGTCAGTGTAAACAAACATGCCCTTGAAACGATCATCGATGCTGATGTGATAGAGGATGCGCATGGCGACCTGCCGGTTGCTCTCATCGCCTGCATGACAACAAATATACAGATCAGGATCACACCCAGATAGTCACAGATTAGAGCATCTCAAAAAATTAGAATATTGTAATACTAAAAAACAAAAAGCTTAATATTTTCCATCAGTTATTGAAGAAAGTGACAACTAATATACTCTTGACTCACTACACATCAAGTGAAATATTTCGGACTTTTTTGTTTTCATTTTGATGAATCTGGCTTATAGCTGATGACAATCAGAAATCCAGTGTCTTTAACACTTTTAAACGTTATTTTTGCTTATCTGAGATGCATCTGTACTCGTCAACAAACGACAACTATGGACAATATAAGCTAGAGACAATAACAACATCATCTTGCAGTGTTATGTAAATCAACAACACACTGATCAAAAAAGATTTTAGGTGTATCTTAATTCAGGGGCTGCAGCCTTTGAATAAACAGTTGAAGACTGAATGTGTCACAGAAACACATACAGGTTGTCCCATTTCAAAGGCACATTCAAATGCTGCAGAGAAATACAAACTTTCTTTTTACAGGGCTGCATAGGATTCGTACATTGGAGCCTTATTGTGCATCCTATCCCGAGATTTATCGATTCATTGCAGTGATGAAATAGAGGACTTCCCAGATGAAAGAGCACCTGTACTGAGTTCCAACTCAGTTGAACTAACGATACAAATGTTAAGAATGTGTCCTGTGTTCAGAGCAGACTGTACCGTATGTTACTATGTTCGTTTGTATTCTTACCCAACATCGCAGTCAGTTTAGGCAACAGCCCGACTTCCACCATCTTGCCCCTGAGCCCAGAGTCAAAGGAGAGGTTGAGGAGCAGCCGCAGAGTCAAGTTTAACAAGTCTTCATGGTCGCAAGGAACTAAACGAGCCAGTCGCTCCACAGTGTCCACCTCAGCCTGCAAATCACATCAAACTAGTGAGACTGAAACTCGGCAGAAAGACACAAAACAGCATTGATATAATCAGAAAAAAAAAAAAAACTGAGAGCAACACAAAAAATAATGACAAAAAGACTGTCATTGAACATTCCAATACTAGAGCTCAAACGCATTTCTTTTCACTGTTCCATTAATGAAGTCTGAGATGTTTTCAATGTCAGGTGTATTGTCTACATTAAGGAGACTGATGCTACTGGAGCAGAATGTTTCAGTCTAGTTTAAGGTAGCACAGGCTTTCATCTTTGCCTTTCTCTCCTGTCTCTTGTTGCGCCAACATCAGCAGCAGAGGGAGGATTAATGATGCCACAGGGGTTTTAGCTTGTTTACCGAACAAGGTTTGCACCTTTATGAACACTGGAGTCAAGGTCTTTAAGAAACCATTAATTAGCCCAAGACTGTAGGACTCAACCTAAAGTTATTCGAATGGATTTAAAGCCTACACATATCAACAGCCAGAATAAGCTTGATTAGTCAATTTGTAGACTCACTGCTTGCTCACTTTTGATAATTACTTGACGTCGCTTCGTCTCATTGAAAATAAGTGCACAAAACAATATTTGAGGTTTTTCCTCCATCACTTCTCACACCAGTAATCGGGTCGAGCAGGATGAACTCCCGTCTCTTCCACTCACCATGTCATTCTTGTTCTCCAGGAAGATGGACAGTTTTTTTAAGAATGAAACCACCAGAACCAGCAGCTCCTCGTCATCCCGTTCGAGAACTTTGACCAGCAGGCCAACAATGTTCTTATTCCTCATCTTCAGCTCCGTCCTCGTGTCCTCGGCGAGGTTCAGCAAGAGGTAAAGAGACACTGAGCGACAGTGAAAGGGTGAGAGAGAGGGATGAACTTAGAGATAATACATACAGTCTGTTATATCTGGTAGCTTTGCTCAACTCATTATTTGGTTACAATTAAAACAAATGCTAATTCTCATAAATACTGATAGTGAGCAGGACTATTGCTCGGGGGAAACAACATTATAAAGTAATGCTGCTTTCACACTGCTGGAGATAATGTGGTAAGTATTGTGGGAAAATTAAAAAAAACGCAAATTTATAAAATACAAATTGTTGGGATGTAAGAGCAGCATTTTATTTTGATCTTATTTAGTTTTAAATGATAAATTCACATCACAGCAATGAACGATGTCAGATCTGGTGTTAGTGTTACAGGGCTGCCACAAAGGACGATGTTTAGATCAATATTTCATGAAGAATTACACAGCGATGCTGAAGAAAAGCATTTGTTACTATGAATTGAAGCGTTTTATAGTAAAATAAAAAAAAAGCAGAAAACGTTGCCTACCTCTGAGCAGCTGCTCCTGCTTAGCAAGAAGCCCGTGGTATTTTCTCGTAGCCTTGTCCTGGTCTCTTCTAAGAGAGCCATTCTCTGGTGCGGATTCACGTACACAAGAGAGCATTAAGGAACACATACACACAAAATAAATCAGTTAAACTATACATCAGGAAGCCACAAATAAACTAACAGCGCAAACAGAAGAAGCTTTACTTCTTGTACTCAGAAAAATAAAGGATATAAGCCTTGTTCTTCTTGCGTAGCTCCTCACGCCACACGTCGTGTCTCTTCAGCTCATGCTCCACCACACTCATACACAACGCACCTATTTTGTAATGACTGACCACTCCGTGAAACTGAGAGAAACTGGAGGAAAAGATGAAAAAAGTATGAAGCACAACAGTGAGACATACTGAAGGGATGTGTACCACTGCATGTGTGTGTGTTTTACCTGGAGAAGCAGAAGAAGATGTAAATGATGATGGTAGCCAGCTCCACGCTCTGCTTCCAGTCCTCCCTCAGGACTCTGGCCAGAGCACCTAAAGCTGCCTCTATACATACAGACACACGGGCAGGTTTTATATGAGCAACATGACCTGAGTGCAGCAGCTGTGTGTAAAAACCAGAACTTGTACTTGGGAAGCAGGACAATGCCAAAATTTTAAAACATGAAAGTCATTGTTTCTCTTTGGCACCATAAATGCGGTCGGTGTAGGAGATAATAGACAATAATGTGGGGAGCAAATGCAGGAGCAGCAAGTCCATTGCAACATGAGGACAGAAATACAATATTAATGTCCACATTTTAAACACAATGAATGTTAGAAAAACTGAGCCACTCAGGTTGGAAACAGCATCACCTACACCAAAATAATCCTTACCAACAAAAAATCCTGCAGAGAAGACAATGAAAATAGACTCTTTGTTTGACATAAATTAAATGGGGGCAAAATGTAGCACTTGTTCAGCTACTGAGTGATTTAAGTATACATGTAGGTCAGAGTTTTCTCTACTGTTATAAGAAAGTGTTTGAGTAGTGTCTGAGTCAAATGATTTTTAACAAAATGATGCTGAGAGTCCTCTACTGCTTTTGAAAGAATTAGTATGTTATCCTGAATATAAGCAAGGGTTTTCTTATATTTGGTGACTAGACAACTGCATAGTCAGATATATTTTCTCAACTGAGAGAAGTCCAGTTACAGTCTTTCACAAGGAGTGTTGCATTGTGGGTAGTTAGCAGTCTTGACATTGCAAGGCTAACAAATCTTATGAATTGCATTTAGAGTTAATCAGCCCTAAGAGTGTTTGGTCAGTCTGATTTAACCTGCATGACTTTCAAAAGTGTCTCCCAGTATGAAGAAAACTAATTTATAAAGAAAAAAAATGTGATCAAAGAGTCTCCCAGTGTCTTTACTGCAGAAATGAAGCAAGAAGAAACTCCAAAGAAGTCAAATCAAACAGCAAAGAACTGAAGCTGAGCTCAAACGTACAGTCTGGAAACTGCTGACCGTCAGAGGAAAATGTTAATGTAGACAGCAGGGGTGAGAAAAGCTTTAAGTCAAATGACATCAAATAATCTCAGGAGACGCACACATGCATCATCGAAGCTATTAAGAAACCTGAGAAAACCTCAGTTAACCACTAGTGTTGGCAGGATGAAAGTGTACCGTTGTGCAGCAGCTCCTCCAGGTTGTCAGGGTTGCGGGCGAGCTGCAGAATGAGAGCAGCGCCTCTGATCTTCTCTGGGATGCCTTCATAGAGCAGCTCAACGTACTCATCCACTCTGGTTATACTGGCTTCTTCGTTTAACTACACAGACACACACACAGTCACTGACTAATATAATACCATCACACGACTCCAGGAAGATCTCAATTTTGCTCTTTTACAAGCTATACTGTTGGTTTGTTTTAACAGAAATAAAGAAACGGGAAATCTTTCACAGTAACACATTTCCACAACTTCAGGTTGTGCTCATGATGATCAGGTGGGGAAGAACAGTTTTGTCTTCTCACAAACACAAGTTTAACAATTGCATAAAATTGTACAGTAATAAAAGAAAACAGGACAAATGCTGAATACTGTGTGAGAGCAAACTGAGAGGAGTGACTTGTTACCTCCATTCCTTCAAATGGCGTCAGCTCTCTGGGCTTCACTGTTCTTTTCTCTTTCTTTTCCACTAGTGAGGAAAACACACAAAGTCAAAAATAAAAACAAGACAGCACTTCCTTCCAAACATGAAGCCCTGATGAAATATTAGTATGGTTTATAATTGTATTAGATGTGGTGTGTTCAGTGTACTGGTCCTTCTTTGCCTTTATGTTACAATATTTCTGACATGTTTACAGCTTACGTAGGAATGTTTAGTTTGTTCCCTCCATGACATGATGCTTTGTGACAGTGACAAATAAAAAAATAAAAAAATAAATGGTACAATGTTTAGTTAACTTACATACATTTGTATGAGCAAAGCTGACAATGTGGTCTGAGTGTGCTGCCAGAGTAAATGTGTGAAATAAAGTCAAAGTTAGCCAATATCTAATATCTGATGGGGACAATTTGGACTTCACAGCAAGGGTGCAATGTTACAATAAAACCAACCTTTTCCTTCCACTGGAGATGACTTCCTGTTCTGCAGGTAGTAGAGGAGCTGCTCCACCTGAGGCAAACGGGATGGAGGGATGAGTTTACACTCCTCCACCACCTTCTTGGCCAAAGCTCCCACATCTGTACTCGGAGAAAGACTTTTCACACGAATGCTGGAGGGAGAAAGAAAAGACAAAGAGACAGTTGAAGACCAGCTGACTTTATACATTTTCACAGATACCTGCAACAGGTTTCAGGACCACAGCAAAACCTAAAATGAAGCTGGAAAACTAGCCTGTTATTTACATCAAATAGCATGACACTAATCCAGACAACTTCAGCAATGACATGTTGGATATGGTTACCTATAGATACTAGTTTACATAGATGAGACGGACACAGTGTTGATTTCACTGATTTTCACTTTGATTCATCCTAAATAAAACTAATCCAATCAACATAAGGCTGCATTTCAAGCAAAAAAGAAGAACCGATAGAACAAATACCAAAATATAGGGGATAAAGAATGGGACTATGATGTAGAACATAAAGAGAAGACTCACATTTTTTGTCCCTCTTTGCGTTCGCCCAGCATATGACCTCCACTCTCTCCCAGAATGGATGCCTCCACCTCATAGTGGACCACCAGGGCCTTCTCGGTCGGGTGGACATCCAAACTACCCGCAGTCACTTTGCTTTAGGTTTTTTTAAAAAGCAAACAAAAAAACAAACAAACATTAAATAACAACTAATTGTTGTTTTATGACCTACTGAACTCATTTGAACTCATGCTAGATACATATAAAATAAGCCAAGCATTGGGTTTAACTAACTAACCAGTTCATTACATGATAATAATGCTTTAAATGTTGATAAAGGAAATAAGTTGCTGTAACTGCCATGTCAGCAACAACTAACCCAACTAACATTGATCCATCCACCATAACAATAACAGTAAGATACAGCAAGACACACCCAGACATTCATACAATGGCTGTACTGAGGCTAAAACAGAACACATGCCTCGAAAAGGATAAATAATTAAAAAGAATAGTTTAGCTCAACATGTAAACCACCAGACAGTAAATTCATCCATATAGCTGTTTACTAGCTAACTAGGCAGTTTGTCTGGCACCGTTTACAGTAGCTTCCTAGCTAGGTTAGCTGTAACCTAGATTCCCGGCCCCCTTCATTAACCTAAAACCACACTCCGTTTGAAAATGTGCTGTTTTAGTGGCGACGTGTTAACCGGCAGAAATGTAAGGCTGGTGGGAAAGCAAAACTAGTCTTTAATGATTTTAGGCGCATTTTTTGTGAATTCCGCGGCGTAGAAATTCATAATTCACAGCTTGACACCTTGTGCTGATTGCCACAGAAATGCTACCTACACTGCATAAGCTAGGTAGCGGCGCTAATAAAACCGCTGCGATGGAGAGACAGGACTGTATAAAATGGGACTTTTTCTTAAGTCTATGTTTTATCTGTGAATTACACGTATGCCGAATACACTGTTGGGTTAGAGTGGCGAACAACAGCAGTTAAATGATCTTACATATGGTGCACACGTCTTCTGGCAAGCATGCAATAATAAAATGTCTAAAACTTGACTGGTGGTTTGTGTGAGCGTCTCTCTAAGCAACCGAACGACACACCTCGGGGCTAGCTAACAGGGAGGTATACTAATGAAAAAGACTCTTTAGTCCCACCAGGTGCTTGTTACAGCTGACAGAGAGGTATAGATATTATATAATACCTATATTGATGTGCTAGAGACATTAGCTGGCTGATAAGAATGCTATTTATCCCTAAATATACCGACCTCAGGTAACGTTACAATCATAGCTTTGCTGCGACTCACCGTTTGAGGTAGCGCGCATCATCCTGCATCTTCCTCAAATTTAAGGTTTCAAAATTTAAATTAACTGAATAGCCTGATCACATTTGAAGGATCCCCCCAATTACGAACATATACACCGGTGGCTAACTGCTAGCAACAACAAGCATTGGCAACAAGAGTGAGGACTTTAAACATGTAGTCTGGTTTTTCTCCCCGGGCTGAGACTTTCAGGCACGGTTTCCTCTCCTGCTGCGCACCAGAAACCTCCGGTAAAAACACTGACATAAGTTTCGAAAATTAACTATAGCGCCGCATAATACTTTCATATTCACAAATCAACATCGTGCAAAACAGAAAGTAACTAAACTATTGTCCTTTCAGCAGAGATGGGGTTGACAAGCTGCCTGAGAGGCTAAACTCTGGGACACCGTCCCACTTTATTATACTGTCAAGCAGCGTTTAATATCCTGTATCAGCCCAACTGGAAGTGCTTGGTTGAGAATGTATGTCTGCATTGTTCTACTGAGCTGACATATAGCTTTAAAGTTAATCAATATGTCGTTATCTTGCTTCTGTCTCGATCACCTGTCAAATGGACACAAATGAGCTTAAGGGCCTTGCTTCACTGGTTATTGCTACTGTAATAATTTCCATCATAGATTTGTTTGACAGAGGACCTGTACTGGAAATTTAACACAAAATTTAAGTATTGTTTGTTGGCTTTTTTTTTTAAGTAAGATTTATATTTATATAGACATAAACTTCTGTATATTTGTAATACAACTTTATCATTAAATATTTTTTGTAAACATTAGCCAACCAGCATTTTTTAATTTGTGCTCCAATCCCTTTTATCCAACAATGTAAGATTTAGCAAGTTTTATTCCAAAAGTAGATCATTTTCAAAACAAACTATGATGCAATGAAATTACAACAGATGTTTGATGTTCTTTATGCTAATGTTTAGTCGCTTCAATGCAGGATCAGATCCAATGGGTGACCTGGGGTGGTGTAAACAGCAGTAAACATTACAAAAATTGCTGTTTTATTCCTGTGTATAAACTAGCATTAGGCTCATTCCATCTCAAATCATTGTTAGTTTATTTATTTTTTACAGTTTCATGAGTTCTCTGATTTGCATTAAGTTTTTGAGGCATAAAATATGGATTTTTCTCAATATTTTTGTAAGTTTTTTATTTTTCTTTTTTTTAAAAAAACCGTTCAACCTACTTTCAGCATATTGTTTTTGCACACTGAAATTTCAGGCTATATTAGATTTTTTTTTGAAAAATCCAAAACTTTTAAGGATAAAATCAAATGCTTCTCAAAATATAACAAAGAAAACAATTGTATATGATAAAGTATTCTTCTGTTTTGTCTTAATATCGACATGAAAATACCCGGTTTAGAAAACCTCACTAGATGCATTATTTGGTTTTTAATGTGTGCTGACAGATGAGACTTTTCTTCTCATACACTAACTTACTTCCATAGACTTGTTTTTTCAAATGTCTGTACATGCATTGCACAATATATTGCCACATAAATACATCCTACAGTAGCCTGTATGATGTTAAATAGAGAGACACAGACAGAGAGCACTGAGATAAAGACATTTTATTGAAGAGCTATGATTTAACTGCCAAGCAGTTAGGGGTGTAAAGATTCACCGATAGGAACCGGAAACCAATTTTAATTTTAACGATATGAATACATCGATCGGCGGGCCTCTGGATCAATTTGTATCTACTGTAGAGCGGTCGATGTCCGGTTGTAAAGTTATGAATCGATTGATTGGAGCTCTGCTACTAAATATGGCCGCTCCAGTCTCGTGAGACTCCTGCTGTAACGTATTATGAGCGTGTTTGTAAAGATAAAGATAGTACATAAAGAAAACCTCGCCGAAAAACGTAAACATCAATCGTTAATAAAGTCTGTATCCATGTCAACATCATCTATAGACAGCAAAACGAAACGTGCTGACCAAAATAAAAAACACATATTTTTCAAGTTCGGTGAGAGGATTCGAAACTATGCAGTCCAGCGGCAAAACTACGAGTTCGGTGTTCTACGCATTGGGCCACCGATCAGCTCAATTAGGATCCCTTTTCATTCCTATAGATACTTCCATTCTGTCAGGTGTTTAACACCTGGTGGTTATTCAGGAAACACGCCCAGATCAACTGCTGATAGTCACAACTTGACACAGACACACGCTGCCTGTTTAATTACACATTAAAACAAATTATTGTCTCACCAAGAAAAAAACCCACAACACAAAAGCTTGTTGTGTGTTAGTCTGTGCATTCAGTGTCAGAGATCCAGAGCAGAACTTGAAGCTTTACTCGGGTTTGTTCACTGAAACACACAGCAGCCTCCCACCAGAACAACACGAAGCAGAACATTAGTTTGGTTTGATAAAATGCATCAGGACAAAATGAGGTCATGTTGAATGTTTTCAGTTTTCAAAGTTTATGGATTGCAATATACTGAAGGGCTTCCTGTTAATATTTTCTCATATTTAATACAGCAACAGTCTGTCTTGTCTGTGTGTATTCGAAAAATAAACACAATGACATTTTTTTGCCTTGCCCCTTTTTTTTTATTTTTTTCACCACACAAATAGATTCAAGCTGCATCGAATCGCATTGTAATGTATTAAAATGTCTCGTTAGTGAATCGTATTGTAATCCATGTATCTAGATTCGTATCGGATCGCCTCTTACGGTAGAGATGCACAACCCTACAAGCAGTATTTCAGCAGACTTCTTCACACGCTGTGGTTTACACCTAACTGCTTCTAATTACAATCAGCATTCAGTGTGTGCTGCTGGATGTTTACTATTGTTAGCGTTGATCTGGGCAGTGTGTATGCTTTCTTTACTTGTGTGCATGTGTCCACTTCTTTCCCTGATTCCTTTATTTAGCTCTCCTTTAAATCTTTCCTGTCAAATCCCCTCCTACTGTTCCTCTGATTTTACCCACTCCTGTTACCCATTTTCTCCCCTTCTCCATTTATTCCACATCCCCTCCCTCTTCCTCATCATCAGCACATGCTGTGAACTCCTTTTCAGGTAAGAGGCCATATTCGTTGAGAAACGCCTCCACATCTGTTGCAAAGAAATCCTCATTGAGGTGTTTGGTAACAGACAGGAAATTACCCAGCAACTCCCCGGCCTTGTACACCAGCAGGGCAGGAAGAACCTGGAAGGACAGTAACAAGAATTTAATTTCATTTAGGAACTAAATGAACATCATAATTTAAAAAAAAAACAAAAAAACAGGGTCTAAATGAAATGCAGAGGGGTTCATTTTAAAAGGTCCACGATCTTTTGAAGACAAGTTTTTAGGGTTGGCAGTTGGTGGTAAAACATAGACACAACTTATGTAGGACTTCATTCCTCAATTAAGAAGTGTTTTCCTGCCACTGCAGGCTGTATCGATGAGCAATAAGCCAACAGGAGATGTTTTAGCGAGCATACAAGCTGTAGAAAACCAGCAAAGAAGAACACATCATTTATTATTTTGTTTATTATTTACAGATTATAAATTCAGCAAGAAAAAGTTGACTTTTGGAAAAAGAACTAAACTACAAGAAAAAGACTTGTTACTGCTTTAGTTCCACAGTTCCTGCAGTGTTGCTCAGTGCCACATAAAAACTTCTACAATAGAATAGACTAGAATAGAACTTTATTGATCCCTTTGGTGGAAACCTCAGGGAAATTGTTAGTTGCATTGCTTTTACCTTACAGTTTTTGTTTTTGTTTTAAACACAATACGGACCTCAGCAGAGAAGCGTTCAGCAGCGCCTGTTGCCACGGCATCAATACGACAAAATTTGACATTGGTGTACTCCAAAGCCAGGCAGTCCAGACATGAGTTCAACTGCTCGCAACCTGAAAAAGGACAGATTGTTGGATCAACAATTAGAACGCACTGCAGTTGTAACTGGATGGATCCATAAGTTAAGACTGAGACTAACCTTTGACACCATGCTGGTAGATGTGGACCACCACTAGGGTCATACGATGTTCCTTCTCTATCACTTCCAGGAAGGCTTCTCCGCTTTCAAGCTCATAGACTGATTCAAATGTGGGACCAAAGCTCAGGCGCTCGTGCATTTCCTGCATACACTGTTTTCTGTAGCGTTTCAGGCAACGTTCATCCTCCTCTTGGATCAGTTCGTACTCCTGAGCACTCATCTATGGACGAGCAAATACATGTTACTGCTTCAGTTTTTAGCCACAGTGCATTCATTGGCTGTTTGTGTGCATTTCTGTGTGAGTGGTGTGGTTTCCTGTGTGTGAGGTTCTGTTTGTGCTTCCATCCACCTTTCTGTTGAGTCTCTCCCTGTCGTCCTCTCGAGGACTGGACATTTGTCTGAGCAGCTCTCTCTTATTCTGAGGGACAGTCTGATCCACACTGTCCAACTTAAACCTTCGCCAGTCATTAATTACACCTTTGGGACCTGGAGACACACAAAGAAAATCCCGCAAAAACAACTTCATGAAGATGTACTTAAATAATAACATACAGTGGAAACAACGATAAATTCAGTAAAGAAGATGAACAACAAATATATTGACACTTCAGTGACAATTTTGATTGACACGTCATCAATTTGGAGACAGAATAATTTTCTTTCCTTCCAGCTAATAATTCGTTGTGTCTGTCTGATCATGTCTCTAACCTGTGTGATTGGCAGGCAGCTCCTCTTCTTCCTGGGTGGAAGCAGACATCCTACCAGCAGCCTGTAATACACAGAAAACACGGACTGGGACACTTGGCCAGGTCCATACAGAAAGAAGGTATGTTGTCTGCTGGAGGCCATGTTGAAAGTTAATCTCAACTCCAACTCTTAAAGATTTAAATTATGCCTCTTTTGAATAGCATTTATATATACCGGGCTTACTTGATACATATCAATGACATTTTATTCAGCACAAGTTGTTCACATGGTTCTAAACCTATTTATTTATTGCCTTGTCTTCTATTTACATACTACTGTGAGTGGCTGAAGTGCGCCCCCCGATTCGACCAATTGGATATTACCTAATACATAAAGCATATTTCCTTCTGCTCAATATACACGGTCACATCTAAGTTACCTAACAATGTAAAAGTAGTCTGGGGTTGCTAGTTTCTGGTAATGGAGGGACACTGTTAATGTTAGTCATTTCTGATGTTTTTACCTCGTCAACACCCAGAAGCTATATACAAACGCACTCAGCATATTGCTGGGCAGGGTAGGCTTATGCTAAAGTTGGCTGTTTCACCTGCCTTTCTGTTGTAATGTAGATAAAGTTACTGCCCTGAAACTGCTCACTCTGGAGATGGGAATTTCGAAATTTTTATAAAAGTTTCTATAAAGATATAATTTAATAGTTTCACAGCACAGGAGGTACCCGCCATCACACTAATCCATCCCAAAGCGCCTTTGACATCATGCCAGCACTTCATTACCTTTGTAGCCACATTGTTGCTTCTTTAGTAACTGAGTGATGTCGGTGGGACTTCACTACTTTTTTACTTGATCGTATTCTCCTATACACCTGTCCTACAGATGTGCACATGATTTTATACCATCTTCCATTTTAGGAGCATGATGCATTTGTCATTTAAGATTCTCCTTATACCTTAATGGTAGAAAAAAGCAGCTGAACCAATAAGTCTAAAAAGGACAGCAACCAAATCCTGCCATTTTTGTCTGATGAGCTTGATACTGATGATATTCTGAGTATGATATTGAGCTGGTCCTGACTTTGTGTTTCAGCACTTATTTAATGTGGACACAACATGGGCGTGAAAAAATACTCTCAAGGGTGAATGAATGGCCGAAAGAATGAGCAAAGTATTATTTCTGATTCAGCTTAAGGGACGAACAGCAATACTGAACACTGACATCCAAATCTAAATATGTTCAGCATTTGTGTGTGTTGAAAACACTGCTGTCAGAAACACTTACTGTGAACCAGGCTGAAGTTTACTTATCAGATTATGCACAGATTACCATGAGTCTGACATGCACACATGCTTAGGACATCTTATCTATGTGCGTGTGTGATGTGACATAATTTGCTAGCTAAACCTATAATTCTGTTTATCTTGTTGTAACCCAGACACATTTTACGCTATTGTTGTGATCCTGAAAATATAAGATGAACTTTTAGTAACAGACTCAACTTTCAGAAAGGAATGTGATGAAACGTGTTCCTTTACACACAATTCTTTTTCCTCGGTAGAAGCTGACAAAATGAAGTATTAATGCAATAATTAATTCATAAAGAAAGAGCAGAACAGAAATTATGATGCTGCAGTTACATACAGATTGCGCACTAATGCTGTGAGTATCAAGGAACCCACTTATTAGGAAAACACTTCTCGCTGCAGACACCAGTAAAGGCCACATTGAAAGCTGTTATGCTGATACAGCTGAGCTGTCGGTGACAACACAGGCCTAATTGAAACTACGTCAGTCATTAAACTGATAAAGCCCATTAATCTGAGGCAGCTAATGCCTTTGTGTAATCAAAGTGATCCTTTTTTTGGCTGGTATTAATGAACCTAAATGCAGTTGAGAAAATGTACTCTCACCCTCAAGTGCAATGCTTTCGACCATGACAGAACATGACTTGAAAAGTATCTGAGTAAATACCTTTTGTACGTGATATTATGAAACAATTTGATAAAAACAATGATCTGGCAAGCATGAATGAACGGATGTACGTATATTGGTCTACTTGTGCCGCAAAGAAAAAAATATACAATCCTGAGAAACTGGACAACTGTATATTGTAACAGCTCATATACATTGAAGATGTTTGAATGTAAACTTGTTGAAAACTTATCACATCTGCTAAACAATGGCTCGCATAAACCAAACTCAGTCTGTGTCAAAAGCACTTCAGTGTGGCAGAAATATTCCTGTAGCTCCAGAAATCACTGTTTTGTGATGCAAGAAAATACTGCACAAGTATCAGCAGTTCTTACCTTTGTGTCTTTAGTGGGAACGGATGTCAGTCAGTTTTAAGGCTGATCAGTCGGCTGTTTTATCTATGTGTCTTCTGTCGATCTAGGCAATCACTGAGGAGTGCATCCACATAGAGAACTGGCAGGAGACGGGAACACAAGTTTAGACATGGGTGGGGAGGGAGATGAGGGAATAAGCTTTATCTACACTGTCATCTTCATCATCACTGTAAGTGTAATGTGATGTTGTCTAATATGATTAGGTGTAAAGCCAGGCTGAGCGTTATGGATTGATGACAGCAGAGTAGAACCAAGAAGGACATATTTTCAAATCAGTTCTAAGCGCTGGCTTAGAAAATAAATCATACTTAACTATACTGGTCTGATACTTCCACAACTTTTAAAGTGTAACAAAAAAAAAACATTGACAAATGATGAAATATTGTTGAAATAACATATGTTGAAAATTATTCAGCCAGTTTGTTAAATTTGGGGATTTTAACTGTCATTCTTTACTTTTAGTCACTTTTCTGTGGTAAAAGCCTTCCCTAAATCATTTCACATGAAACGTTTTTCTGAGCCTTCCACTGAAAGTACTATAGCAATAGTAAAATGACAATAGTATTTAGCTTCAGAACAAATGTGAAAAAGAAAGTTTAACTACAATTCTAACTAAGTTTTAATTCAACTTGGGATCCGTTGGAAGTAATGAACTTCTGAACCGAATGACTAGCATGAGCCGTTTCTCCCTAAATAAATAACCACCACCCCCTGCCCAAAAAAAGGAACGTTGCATTGGCCGGGAATCGAACCCGGGCCTCCCGCGTGGCAGGCGAGAATTCTACCACTGAACCACCAATGCTTAGTTACTATAATAAGGAATACCAATCAGACCCTCCTTGTGCCGTTTTTGATCGTTAATCATGCATATTTTTTTCTTTCAGATTAGCTGTTAAGGCCATACAAGCAAAAGACCTACTTCTACACATGAAAAAGTATGACCTCCCCGTCGGGGAATCGAACCCCGGTCTCCCGCGTGACAGGCGGGGATACTCACCACTATACTAACGAGGAGAAGACAAGACGCTGCTCTGACACATACGTGTAAATTTGTGTCCAACACAACACATACATTATGAACTATTCATTAAAATGGGCTCAATACCATTTCATTTGCTATGAGAAAACACAACTCACCAAGTTTTTTTTTTGTTTTTTTTTTAACATGCCTGACTGAAATATTTAAATTTCAGACTCAACATTATAAACCCCAGCTCTTACAGACACTACCTTGAGACGTGTGTGGATGAAAAGAAATGTGCAAATTTGTTCAATGACAAAAAAAAGTAGGAAAACAACATCCAGAAGACATGTTGGGTTGGAAAAAAACAAAAGAGACCTCCCCGTCGGGGAATCGAACCCCGGTCTCCCGCGTGACAGGCGGGGATACTCACCACTATACTAACGAGGAATGGTCATGTGTGC